ACACAAGTGTTTTAATCCATCATCACCTATTTGTTTGCAACTGATGTCCAACGTGGTTAGTTTGCACTCATTTGTAGCGAGTGCTTTACACAAGTGTTTTAATCCATCATCACCTATTTGTTTGCAACTGATGTCCAACGTGGTTAGTTTGCACTCATTTGTAGCGAGTACATTAAACAAGTGCTTTAATCCATCATCACCTATTTGGTTGTGACTGATGTTCAACGTGGTTAGTTTGCACTCATTTGTAGCGAGTGCATTAGACAAGTGTTTTAATCCATCATCACCTATTTGGTTGCAGCTGATTTCCAACGTGGTTAGTTTGCACTCATTTGTAGTGAGTGCATTAGACAAGTGTTTTAATCCATCATCACCTATTTGGTTGCAGCTGATTTCCAACGTGGTTAGTTTGCACTCATTTGTAGCGAGTGCACCAAACAAGTGTTTTAATCCATCATCACTTATTTGGTTGCAGCTGATTTCCAACGTGGTTAGTTTGCACTCATTTGTAGCGAGTGCTTCACGCAAGTGTTTTAATCCATTATAACTTATTTGGCTGCTATGGATGACCAACGTGGTTAGTTTGCACTCATTTGTAGCCAGTGCTTCAGACAAGTGCTTAAATCCCTCATCACTTATTTGGTTGCCAGTGATGTACAAAGTGGATAGTTTGCACTCATTTGTAGTGAGCGCATCAGACAAGTGCTTTAATCCATCATCACCTATTTGGTTGTCACGGATGACCAACGTGGTTAGTTTGCACTCATTTGTAGCGAGTGCATCAGGCAAATACTTTAATCCACCACCATCTACATCGTTGTAACTGTTGACCAACGTGGTTAGTTTGCACTCATTTGTAGCGAGTGCTTTACGCAAGTGTTTTAATCCATCATCACCTATTTCGTTGTCACAGATGTTCAACGTGGTAAGTTTGCACTCATTTGTAGTGAGTGCATTAGACAAGTGTTTTAATCCATCATCACCTATTTCGTTGTAACTGATGTTCAACGTGGTTAATTTACATTCATTTGTAGCGAGTGCATCAGACAAGCGCTTTAATCCATCATCACCTATTTGGTTGAACCTGATGTTCAACGTGGTTAGTTTGCACTCATTTGTAGTGAGTGCATTAGACAAGTGTTTTAATCCATCATCACCTATTTGGTTGGCAGTGATGTCCAACGTGGTTAGATTGCACTCATTTGCATCAGAAGACCCTGACATGAGTAGCTTATACATATCCTGACACCCAATAGATGTAATGTGGTTGATACTTACATCTACACTTACAATACTCTTTATCTCTTGTAAAACGAACACTATCGCTGTGATATCTGCATCAGTTAATGACACTCTACTCAGGTTTACGTTGACTACACCACTACAACTGTCTGCAACCAAACTTTTCCATAGACTATTTGAGTTTCGTGAAATCTCAAATATGCACTTGAAAAGTCTGATCACTAGCTCCTTTTCGAAGAAATGTGGCCAGCTTTCTTCACCAGACGTTTGCGGAGGTAAACTTGCAATAAAAATCCCTACTATAGAGTTTATATGTTCTTCACTCTTAACCAACCCAGCAACAAACTGCATTACTACTTCCCACTTGCCTTCACGCAGATGCTTAGAAATCCAGCTTTTTAGTTCCTTCAAACTTTTTCCCTTTATGATGTATCTTGCAGCCAGAAGCTCTTGAATCGTTAAGTGAAGGAAGCAGTACTGTTCTTTGTGTCGGATAACATCAACCTGTTGGTTGGGCAACCGATGAAGCAGACCACTTTCTTCATGTTTCTTGACTTCACTTGATTCGAAAATCAGCCTATCCTCTTTAATTCCTTTATAAGCTATTTCCCCTAGACTATTCAAAGACT